CAAAATGATGCAGCCCAATGAGAAAATATGAATTTTTTGAAATAAAGGAATGAGGAGCAATAATGATTCGTAGTATAACAACGCAATAGGGAGATACTATAACTCTAACATCGGAGTTTTAAGTGTTTTCGAAGGTCAATCTCCCTTGTAATGAAGTAGAGATCAAAACTTTGGGTCCCTATTGAGAGGACCTTATCTCATCATAGATGTCATTGGATCCCACAATTGTAGACTGGGGGCTCCAATGGGATGCCCAGAAAGCACCTGTGGAATGCAGCTTACTTCGTTATAAATCGACAAGTTATGTTCCATGGTATTTTTTGTGAAATGTCTACAGAATTCACTCTACAAACACTTTTAACTCCTTTGAAAGTGAGCTCGTCCATTACCAGTTTTGGTTAACTACAAGATAATCTGGCTAGATCATGTTTTAGCGAATATCGAAAACAAGCACAACCAATAAGATAAATGGTATAAAAACCAGAGACTGTGGCTGGCCAAGGATAAAGGCGAAACTCCGCTCTAAAGGGGAAGAGTGATCACTTTATCGAATTTCATGAATGAAGGTTCTATCCATTCGCAAATCAAGTTACATTAAAATAGGTAAACTGGCCCTTCTCATCTTCCCCAAGAAAAAAACATTGGAAACCAAATTTTCACCAGTGTCGATCATCCTCATATTAATTCAGATAAATTATTTCCTTGAGCCCATCATTCCCAAAAGGTGAGAACTTCTCCACGAAAGAATACCTCTATATATGCATCCGAGTTAGAAGAAGAATAAGTCTATCAAAAGAAAAGCTGAAACGACTGTAAACCAAAGGAGAATGACGATCGAACTTTATTGGGCTATGATGCCATTTGATTTATTGGTCCATTTCAATTGGACAAGGATGAAATTACTTAACCCACCAAATACTACCTACGCCATTGCCTAATAACTCAATGTGAAGTAGGCTACGACTCGGCCCAAGACTTATGAAATACATGTGCTACTCTGGACACTTTGATCTCCTAACCTAAAATCAACGGTGATAATCCATCTATATATATATGGATTGAGAAATATTTTTCATTTTTCTCTCTTGACTCTTCATGTGGTCTTGTGTGTGGAAGTTTCTGGGTCTCTCTCTTGAGACTTTGTGTATATGTCCTTTCTTCTTCTTCGTGATGTCTGTTCATTTATGTAGGAATGTATTTTATTAACTATCATGTCATCAATTTCCATTAATCTAAGTGGTAGAATTGGATGTAGTTATCAATTCAAAACAAATTAAAATATAGTTATCCTGTTGAATAAAATTGAAAGAACCGTGCTATACTTACAGGAGATTTCATGCAGATGTTTTACAGAATACACATTGCAGTGGGGCCCACACCCATAAAATATTGAACAATGCTACAAGTACAGATTTTTTTTTACAGAATTTGGACAAAAAAATAGTTGTCTTTCTGTAATTGACTATTGTTAAAAACAGCTTTTGACAATAGCAAATCACGGGAAGATAAGTGTCTTTCTATACCAATTCTGTTAAGAAAATCTGTACTTGCAGATTAATTGTAAAATATCCACATGCGGCCCACCCCCATGTGACTGTCTCTGTATAACATCTGTGAAGTTTTCCCTGTTGCTGTACTTTTAGGCTTACAATATCAATGTCCTTATCATCCCTTAAAGCTAGTTCTTCGTCGTAACAACTCGACTTCTGTATCCAAATCGCTAACTTGTGTAATATCTCTTTAAGAGAGCGGTAGTCCATATAATCCCTCATGACTTTTTGTCGCATCCAACCATGACCTTTCCTTAAAGTTGAATTTTGTAACAACAGGGCTTCTATGTTCAAACCAATAACTTTACGTACTATCCACTTCAAGAGAATTTTGTAATGACTGGAGATTTATTCGAGGAAGACGTCTAAGTCGAAAATTTGAAAAACAAAATTTTATTAGTAATATAAATTAAGTTAAAATTAATTAATTTTAAGCCAACTACCATTTAGTGGACAAAAGATGGGAACATCTAAAATGAAAAAGATGTTTCACTAGTATTCTAGACCAATTATGATTTTATTGCCATTCTTGAAGAAGAAATAAGCAATGCATTGCTTTTGTGGCTCAATCAACCTTTAGTTTTATGTAATAATAGTATGGGTATGTATGTAAATAATCAATTTCAGTTCCCAACTATTTTTTTTCTTTTATATGTTGGATAAAAAACCCATTATTTAATACTTCGCAAAAAATATATGATGGTTACGGAACACTTTTCTAATACTTTCTAGTTTTACGAAGATAGTAAAAAAAAAAAAATTGAGGGGAACTTTGGGCAAGATCTATCTGCAACGAATAGAAATGCCTATCAGAAAGATACTCAAAAGGCTTCGGGATCGAGGTCTCATTATTCAAAGAAGACTATGCCTAAAGACTCCCATGCCTTTCTTGGTTGGACCAACCAACCGGCCATTTCCAACAAGTCTTCTCAATGATTAATATTTGGATCTCCAATGTTTTTCATATTGGTGTGGAGAGGGAGTGCCACCACGATCTTTAGCTTTGGGCAGTGGTATCTAACATGAACATAAAGGATAATTTTGCATAATGAATAAAAAATTTAAGACCAACTTGCAATAAAAATAATAAATAAGAAATTCATGTTGCAATTTTCTCATTCCAATAAATGGTTTCTAAACTCAAATATGTTGTTTCAAACTCGTTGTCCTTTATCACATCACCTTTGAATGCTACGTATTTTTCAACATCTTGATATATTACACTTTACGGTCTATTTTTATTTGGTAATAAGATATGATGTAACGAAATATCGAAATTGCATTTAAAAAAATATTTAAGAGGATAATAAATTTCGTCTCGACTTCTCAATGACAACACAAAGCGTGGGATTAACTGTGTATTTCCAGCTTGTTTTGTGCTTTGCAATTGAATTTTGTTTTCTTGTGTAATTGTGGCTGTTGGCTACGCTTCCACCGTCCAATTTTGACGCGAAACAAGAAATTCCTATTTCTTTTCTTTTCTTCATAGATTTAATGTTTTACTATTCAACGACGTTACTTAAATAAAAAATGTCAATTAAGTGGAGAGAGTGTTATTATGTTACTTAGAAACTGGTCAACGTGAAATTATGGATAATTTTGTGCTTAAAACTATATATTTTATAAAATTGACAAGTAATCCTTAACATTTTTACACTTCTAGGAAATTGGTCTTATTCGTCTCTTCCAAACGAAACGAAAAGGTTTCTAAAAATGCCTCGTATTATTACGAATGACTCAAGTAAGCGATTGTTTCACAAAACTTTTGATAAAATGTTTTTTTTTAAATCAAATTTTAATAAAAGTTGATAAAATATGTATTAAAATCTAATTGATTGATTAAATAATTGCTTAATTAATTAATTAATACACACACACAAACAAAATATTACCAATCGCAGGTCGATTTTAATCAATATAACAACAAAGGGTTTGGGGGCTAACGGAATGATTAATATTGAAAGTAAATTGAAATTTAATTATTTAATTGAGACAAATTAAAGTTGAATGATCAAATTGAGATTTTATTGAAAGCTCATTGACCAAAGGTGTTATTAACCCCGGCACATAAAATTCACTAATAGTAAAATATTAAAGGCTGTTTGATGTAAATTTTTAAAGAATAAATTTTTTTAAAAATTAGAAAGTAATATTTTTGAAATATGTGTGATTAAGAAGTAGACAAAACTAACTCAAATAATAATAACAAGACTTCACTAGCTCAGTGATCAGAATGAGTCTCATTTCGAGATGGGTAAAATAAGAAAAAATTAGAGAGAGACGTGAAGACTTCTAAAGTGCGCCTTCAAATACTAATCTTTCGCAGGCTTGTTCATGGCCCACGAGCCTGCTTCATCAAACAAGCACCACTCAGCCGAAAGGCCTACAAAACTAGAAATCACATATTTATCCATCCGTTCCAACACTAATAGGCAGGTAATAGGCCCGCCAAATTAGCACCAATCTCTCCACACTCTTGGGTATATCAGCATTAGAATCTTGCTGCATAAAAATCTCAGAAAGGTAGACCGCCATCAGCAATTCCTCTGGTTTGTCTGTCTATTTTAATATATATATATATATATATCCTACAGATTGCTGTCAAATGCCATCCGTATTAATTCTGATAGCCATTTTCTATACATATAGTCTATAGAAGAGTTGGACCACCATCTCATATATCAAATCCCTAGTGTAAGAGCCAAATGAAAGTTTAGCCTTCATTTTGACCATCAATTATATAAATGATTTATAAATTCAATCATAGTCAAACATTAATTTCAACTAGACATTTGTAACTATTAATCCAAGTTTTGTAATCTCTCTGAAAAGCAAAGACCGAAAAACCTTTTCAAGAAAATTGCCTATCTTTGTTATCCAAGAAGACGTCCACAATATACAGTTTAGCAAAAAACTTGAAAATGATGACTATCTGAGCAATTGAAGGGAAAACCCTCTAAATGAACCACAAGAATCAACTACCGCAGCCATAAGGTTGATAGCAAAACAAGATGTGGTTAAGTTGATAACTTGAAAATGAACAGTATTGTTACAACTAGAAGATTTTTAATTAAAACTTTTGTTTCACCACACAAGGGGAATAATTTGTCACTTGTGTTCTCTATTGTCCTATATTCGTACCAATTCGCAACAAAACCTACACAGCTAGCATCCCAACTATCAAGAGTATAACCAATTCACCTTGTCTTGGTTGGTCAAGAATTGTTGTGTCTACAACCAAGGTTAAGAATTCAAGGACCGGTATCTTCCATCCCCTGTACTACCCCTCAAGAAAGAAAAAAATTGGACCTCTGTACAAACTAATGTTTCCAGCTTCCTCTCTATCTTTAGTCTTGAACAATGAATTTTCCAAATAACGGCCATGTGGGAGCAACAAGTCACACGCAGGAATCTAGTATAGAAGCTCAAACAACATAAAATCCATAAATGGATCCCAGAATGATATTAATACTAAACATTCCAACACTCAAAATGAGAAGAAGTAAAAAATGAAGCATTTCTTCCATACTGCATTACACAATTTACGTAGTACTGCAAGTCTACACCCTCCAAGAATTAAAATAGAGACTCTCTGAAAGAAGTTGAGATCCAACGTCCAAAATTGGTTGTACAACTTACCGTCTACCCAATAATTCATTGAAACATCATTTTACATTAACATCAAGTTTTCTTTCATTGCCAATTGAAAGATTAAGCTTGAAAAATATGTGCAACTTTTCAGAATGGACAAGTTTCAAATCCATTGTTTGGCGTGATTCCTGTTGAAGTTATACATATCAAAGACACGAGTAGAAAATATATCATCAAAATATCTGAGTGAATTTCTCGTGACCATGCCAAACTAGAGGCCACCAGGTCAATTCTCACAATCCTTGCTCGGCTTTTGGCTCCCTTTTAACAATAAAGCTTCAGGCATCATCCTGGGAGACTCACTGTTTGGATAGCAAGGATATATGCACCAACAATAAGCATTATGCTAAAATTACGAGGTGAGAATAAAAGTAAAAAATGAAGGCCATGAAGAATTGTAGGACAAACTTTGTAATAACCGACCTGTCAGGTGCTTCTTTCTTGCTTATCAGTGTAATTTCTAGTGATGCAAGATATTCACCGAATCTTTTGAGGTCTTTCTCTTGGCAGAATTTGACAAGATGGTGCAGGAAATCATTGAATTGTTTGGGTTCCTGTTGACAGTTGTTTCAAAGTAGTGTGCAAAAAGAGTCAACATAAATACTACAAGTTCAGAGCACAAATTTCTCATGCAAATTTGGGGGGAAAAAGTAAAAAAAAATAAGTCACTGAATTTCAGCTATTTGTTTCTCATAGCTAACCGGTTTACATTTCTCATGTCAATTTGGGGAAAGGTTGCTTGAATTTCACAAATTTGTTTTCATAGCTAACCAACTTACATTTCTTGGATAAGAACCAATATATAGTTGAAATAGTATGCTTAATCACAAGGATAAAAAATACAGTCAACATATTTCCCTGAATACAACTGTAATTTGAATCTGGCAGAGCTGCAGAAATTGTTAGAGAATAACACGAGAACTTCATCATTAATAACTCCTAAAACAACACTTCCACTGTTCTTCCTACTATGACGTTGTGCAGTCAACAAGAGATGTAAAATAACATTGAGGAAGGGGAATGGGCCAACAAGTGTGAATAAAATATTCAAGATTGAAAGTTACACGCCAATAAAGATAAAATACTGATTATCTAGTCATATATTGAACCAAACAATATGTGATAAATTGAATCATCATTTACAAGTAGGCTTTTAGTGTCTAGGCAATTTCCTGGGTGATTTTTCATATCTTGAATTGCTTTATTAACCTATTCTGTACTATCTCTTTGAGACATCATGGCTTCAAAATCTTGAACAGGATCCAAATCCCCCATTTTCTCAACTTTACTCAAGAAGTGAATTCAGTGTCTTGCACATCAGTACCTTCGCCAACTCCTTCCTCACTTGATCCAGTTGGTTTCTCTATTAATAATATTTGAGACAACTTAAGCTACAGAATAAACTGAGTAAGAAAAACCACTACTTCTGTAGAATTTGGTTGCATACAAAAAATAATTATGATGATCGGCCAAAATAACATTCAAATTCTCTTTCAGTTCGAAGCATCTATGAAATTAATCTATAAACAGCTTTATTTTGAGAAATAAGTTCAGGATCAGGCTCTGTTATCTTCCAGAGAGTTTCTTCAAGTGGAGGGACAGCTGCATCTTGTTGCTTAGATTTTACAAGAAGGAAATGATGAAATCGCTCACATGTAGACCGAACGCAATTATTTTCTGGAAAAAGAAAAAAAGATACCAAAGAAAATAATCTGTGAAGCACAAATCAGAAACGTCATTGGTAGAAAATTCTCGTTCACATAGCTAACAAGGCATTGTTTTGTTTTTTCAGAACAGTAGCCTTTCAGGATTCACCAGCACCAAGTTTAAGTGTTTTTGCGGAAAGAATGCATTGTAGTACAAACAATGCAATGTTTCCAGAAATTCTATGGAAAAAAAATAATAATAATAAAATAAATAAATAAATATATATATATATATATATATATATATATAGAGAGAGAGAGAGAGAGAGAGAGAGAGAGAGAGAGAGAGAGAGCCTGTCTGGCTGTGCTTTTTCACCAGATTTTCAGCCAAAATAGAGCCGTTGGTCCAAGCTGCAGTCCCACCTCACACACAGGCAGTCAAAAATTGTGGGCTGCATCGGTAGGAAAATTGCTGCCAACGGTCACTTTTTAGCTTTTAATTTCTCCCAGACAGGCCCAATCACCTTTTTTCCCAAAGATTTTCCATGAGACCTCATTATTAAATAAAATGTACCAATCAAAAGAAACTGATTAGTTGTTTCCCTGTTCAGTTGTTCTATATAAAAATACCAAACTGGGACTTTTAAAACCTTCGGGATGATTGTGGCTTAGCTGCAATTTAAATTGGCAGGAAAGCACACACTCAGACTACTTACTAAAATGTTAACAGTTAGGAGGTTGAAAAGTGATTCTATTTCTTCTAAAGCAAGTTTCCTTCAATTAATGCTTTGGTGATCAAGCAATATTCATGGCTTGAGACACACCAGTATATAACAAGCAGTGTAGTGATGACTAGAAGAGCTCTTTTAAGGGCAATGCATTTGGCTCTTTAATTTTTTCAAGTTTAGTTGTCAAATTAAAATAACATCTTTCCACTAAATCAAGATGTGGTAAAGTTGACAACTGGGAAATGAAAATGCGGTGCCCTTATTTTTACGGCTAGAGGATTTGTCATTAAAACTCAAGTCTTACCAGGATTAGTGTCTCACTTGTGTTCTCTATTGTTAGTTTCATACAAATTTGCAACAAAACCGACACAAATAGCACCCCAACTCCCACTAGTATAACCAATTCACATTGTCATGATTGGTCAAGAATAGTTGTTTCCACAACCAAGGGCAACGGTTAAAGGATCAATATCCTTCATCTCTCTAATCCCCGCAAGATAAAAATGTAAGAAAATTACTTTTAACTATCAAACAAACAATCCACCCTCTCCTAACTATGGTAAGGAGAAAATGAAAAATAATCTCTTAGCAAAACACTGCTTTCTTGTCAGAAAACCATTTGGCCTAACTATTTCAGTGAAGGTCAAGTCCTGCAAAAGTGCACAAAGATAACATAAAAGGATATTGATAACAGAAGTACATACAGATTTGGACTTCATTGAAGAAACATGCCCACACTGCTCACTTCTCTACCATGGTAAGGCTCAAAAGCTTAAGTCACAGGATACTACAGAAAAATAAAAATAAAAATAAAAAATAAATAAATAAATAAATAAATAAATAAATAATAATAATAATAAATGTGTACAAACTATTTCTGATCAGTTACAATACACTAGGAAAACAACATCAAGGCCACACATTTTCAAAAGAATTAGAAAGCACAATATTTTGTAAATCTGATTTTCAAATACAAAATCCAACTAGCATCAACTAACTAACAGGGCATGCCAACCATTGTTCTGAGAGTTTGGAGGCAATAACAAATAAACCAAGATCATCTAATGCTATGGTTAGAAATTTGGACTGCCAGGATAATACAGAAAGCTTTCAAGAAAAGCCATAAAAAGGTTTGGACACGAAAATTCATATTGACCAAATTCGAATTATCCGTATTCGAAAGAAAGAAGTGTCTTGAGTCAAATAAAAAAAATGAGAAATGCTACATGTACACTAGAGTTATACAGCCCCCTCACATTTGAGGGGGCCCACGAATTTTTTAATCAATGTGGGCCCCCTCTCATGTGAAAGGGGTGTACACTAGAGTACAAGAAGCGTTTTTTCTAAAAAAATACTAGCATAAAAGATGCCATTCTCGTAGTGCAGCAATTCAAGAAAACATCATCAAAAAGATTATGTTAACAGGAATATGAAATTAAAGTGAGCAAAAATAGACAAATAAAAAGAGAGTTTTTCTTCCACCTACCAACCCAGTAGGGCCAGTACCAAAGATACATTTTTTGTACGCCCAGCTTCACGTTGACTAGAGACATCCGAAGCTTTTCCTGGTGCGATCTGGATATATTCGAGTCTTTGCAATTCGATTCTGCAATAATATAAATCACATAGGAAATGCAGCAGGATACCAACCCAATATATTTGTCACAAAGCATGTGTACTTGGAATCCTAACCATTTGTATTCCGACAATTCATAAAAAGGTATCATTTTTCCCTGTACATTAAACATCGAAATTGCTACATTGAAAAAAATACAGGAATCAAGCACAAAAGCTCAAAGAGCGTCATATCCATTGATAGGTGCCAAAACGACATTATTAAAAGGAGATTTAGAAGAACATCAAAATAAAAGGCAAAACAGAGCAACAACTACAAAGATGTTATTTTAATTTTACAACTAAATAAAAAATCAAATCTACAAATGAATTCTACGTTCAACCAGCGATCTCAGCAAAAGTTGCATTAATATCCAAAATTCTTTTTACTGAATTAAATTTCAGAACTAGTCCATATGGAGAGTAAAAATATAAAGATTTTTTTTTAAAAGTTTGATCGAGCAACACATGTTATACCTTAAAAAAAAAATTCATTTGAAAATGGTGAAGGCCCTGGAGTTGCTTTCGTAATTACAGTTCCTTCCCATCCCATCTCATGCTTCCTTCGCCATTGTCGACTTGTTTGAATCATCCGTTTCCGGTCTCAGCTTCAAATTGATTCATCTTCAAATTGTTTGCAAAATAAAACCCTAAGCTAAATACACGCGACGAATTTACATAAATACCCTTCGGACGCCTTGAATTAAACACCCACCCGACCCGGATATTTCCTCGATAATTAAACAAAACTCCAACGGTAAGTTAAAACTAGCGCTCCAAGTAATTCAAATTCCCGCCTAAACACAACGGATCTTTTCTTGATGCTCCTCTCGGTCTTGATTTCTCTCAGTTTCAATTACCTCTCGGTTTCAATTACTCTAGTCTCATCTTGATTTCTCTCTGTTTCAATTCCATTACTCTCATCTCAATCTTGATTTCTCTCCTTCTGATTCTCTTCTCACTGTAATAATTCACGATTTTAGTCTGAATCTTGAAATATAAATACTTCACATTCAAAAAAGATCACAATCATGGGGGATGATGATGGTGGATCAGACAATCATTCCAGGCCTCAAACAAAAAGCTTCAAGAAAGATGAGTTGAAGGCCAAGAAGAAGGCATTCTTGGCAAGAAAAGAATGTATAAAGAAGAAGACAATGGAATTATCTGTTTTGTGTGATGTCAAGGCTTGTGCTGTGATCTTAGGCCCTGATGGGAAGATAGAAACGTGGCCCGAGAATCGCAGCGATGTACAGGATGTGATCGACTTGTTCAAAAAAGACTGCCTTAATAACAAGAAGCGAAAACATAACAATAATGATCATGGTTGTAAGAAGAAGCAGGTTTTGGGAGGTGATGATGGGGTTGTAGAAGATTTTCTGAAAAAGCTTGAGAACAAATTAGATCAAGTCAAGAAACGGATAAAGGAGATTAAGACCAAAGATCAAGAAACAGGTTCAGGTATTTTCATGATTTTTTTTTTTTTTTTAATTTTGATTGGACTAGCCCTTTTTATTCACGTTTCATTATGTTCTTCCTGGTATTCATATACTGGTCTGCTTCTGTATTTATTCATGGATAGATATGGCTTTGTTGTTTGAATTAATTTTTAATCATGATAACAAACTCTTTTGAAGAAGCTGATTATTCCTTCTCCCATCCAGCGTCTGAACTTGGCAACCTGTTGAGTGGGGGCATTCCTCCTAATGCTTGGCCTCCAAAAAGTTCACAAAATCTGAGCTCATATTTTAATGCTGGCATGCTTGGTTTTGGAAATCAGTTGCCTGGGAATATTGTGTCTTCTACTCCAGTAAGGGCATTGTCCATTTATGTTGTTATTACACATTAGGCTGCTTATTTTTCACCACTATTCGAATTTTTCTTAAATCTTATTTATCACATAAACTTCCAGGGCTATTTTGGTGGCTTTCCGAACAATGTTGAAGGTATGCATTTGGGACCTGTGGTTTCTTCTGCACCTATGTCACAACTGGTATGTAAAACAATTAGCTTTTTTTGATTGATTTATATGTCCTTGCTTTAAAACTGAAATATAATTCCTTGTTAAATTTAAAATAGGGTTTTCAGCCAGAACAATACTTGCCATGTTCCTTGCGGCTACAATCTTCAAATGCAGCATCTTTCTCCACGACCCAAAGTTTGCATATGCCATACTCTGCTGGTCATACTCCTTACAGTACAGGATTTCAACAGAATTGCATTGATAACAGTGATAATTCCTTTTGGATTGAACCGCCCATATTTCAAGAGACATCGTCTTCTAATCCAACCATGGAAATACCTTGCTACTTCGATTATAAATTTGATGAGATACATGGATTTGAGCAGGCCAGACAAATTCCATTGTCATTTGATCAGTGTGATCCTGGATTTGAACTCGCTGGCGATGAGATGTCATCTCTTAATCAAACCATGGAAACGCCTTGCTTATTTGATTATCAAGTTGATGAGATACATGGATTTGAGCAGGCCAGACAGATTCCATTGTCGTTTGATCAGTATGGTACTGAATTTGAGCTCTCTACCACTGAAAATGATCGTTCCAATACTAGTGTGGAATGGACAGAGAATCAAATCTGCACAACCCAACCAAGTCCTCTAAGTTCATGTTTTTCAGTCACAAGTATGACACTCCCAGAAGAGGACGAACTTGATGTTCTTCTAGAACTTCAGCAGAATGCACCGACCCTCGACTGCTTCAACCCTGACTTTGGCTTAATGGGTACATTAGGTTTTCCATAATGTAACAGTTCAGTAGTTTATATGCTAGAGATTATCTTTCACAAAGAAAACTCTTCAAAAAAAACATTCCAAGAAACAGCTATAATCATCTTATGCGTTATCAAACAGAAGCTGTTTTTCCCTGCCTTGGACCATTTTATTAATTTCCATTAGCTTCTGAGTCTTTGGCACGACTTCTTTAAAAGCATCATGTGAACAAAATTTCTCCGCCCATTGTCCAAGCTCGGGGTCTTGTGTTGATCAAGAAATTTCCTGCCATTTATTTCCTCTGTCGCTTTAAGCCATCCCATGTAGGAACCTAGTGCAATATCAAGGTAACCGATATTAAGGGTTTCCCTTTGCTACATTTGATAAAAGCCTCATCCAACAAGACCAAACCTTCACATATTCTCTCAATGATTTTCTTTCTTGCTTCCTCTGTTGACGCTTCTTTAAGCTCCTTGTATAGTGGAATCCACTGGAATCAATAGTTCAAGTGTGTTGAATAGAATTCATTTTGTAATTAATAAGCCGATATAACAGTTTCTCTTTTTAGCATTGTGTCTACGGATGAGCACACTGCCGATGGAGTCATGGATACCTCAGTTCGCAACTTGCTGTGAAATTACAGTAGTTCGTGCCAATTCATTTAGTATAGAGTAGCTTGTGTATTTTTGCAGTTTGGATGTTAACTTCAAACTTATTCTTTATCATTGTAATTTGAATCTTGTTGTGTTCAAGAATTTTTTGACATGCTAAATTGTAAACACCCAGGTTCCACTTCCACTTCAAAGCAAGAATATACTATATGAATGCAAGGGGTGCCTTGAATAAACATTGTGTCTTGAGTCCAAAAAAAAAAGGGGAAGAAATAATTGAATTTTTTTTTTTTTAACTCTGTGTGGATTAATAATTAATTAAAAAATAAGTAAGCATTGAGCAGCTTTTAAAATTAAGCGAGTAAGTAGAAGTAAAAAGCGGCAAGGTAGTGGCATCACAGAACATTAATTATAAAATCATTGAAAAATTAAAGTTCTAGCTTTTAAACTTGGAAAAATTAATTAGAGATGACTACATAATTGAGAAACATAGTCGATGGTTTGATGAAATCATAACCCGTGGCTTTCTCATATTGATCATTTCTTATTCTTCATAATATTAAAATCTTGAATTATTGATGATGAATAGGTTGGTGATGATGTGAATCGGATTTCAAATAGGTGAAAGTGGGGGAGAATTTTAAGATTTGAAATTTAAAATAAATAAAAATGAAAGAAAAAAAATGTTATTGAGAGCCAGAGACCAAACCCCTGATAAAGAATGGAGAGAGATCTACATTAGTTCACTCGACAATCAATTATGTTTAGGGAAAATTTCGAAAGTAAGAGCCTAATTCAAAACTAAGACCAAAGATTTGAACTTTCAAAAATCAGAAATTTAATAAAATTTATTTATTATTTAATTTATTAATTACATATTTTATTAATTAAATATATTAAAGTCACATATTTATACAATTTGATCACAGATTCACAATTTAATTAATCACATAATATTTTTCGGTCACAAATCAACGTTTTGAAATGTTCAAATTATTTTATGGTCACAAATCAAAAAATTTATAGGTCATAGTTTGTTCATCCATTACAAATCAAAATTAATACGTCACAATTTATATGTCGATCACAGATTACAAATATTATAGGTCACAATTTTATTAGACGGTCACAAATTAATATATTTTTAGGTCACATTTGTCACAAATCATCTTTTTCATCGGTCACATATTTGTTTATTGGTCACAGATTAACCATTAATGATCAAAATCAATCAAATAATCTGTGATCACCACTGACAATTATGACAACCACTGCCTCTAACAATATCGCTGCCATCGTCGTCGCCAGAACCACCACCACCACCCAACAACAACACTGTCTGGGACAAAAGCACCATAGCAAGCACATCACCACCCCTCGCTGTTGCAACGCAAACCACCACCACATTAACACAAACCAAACACCAAAACAGTGAAAAACAAACCACCAGATCACGTTACCCATGTCATCCCGACGCCACAACCAGCCCTCCATCACTACCACATAACACAGCCACAATCCCCACCAAAGATCTACAACAAAATTTACAACGACGGTCGAAACCACCACAAGAAAACACGAACATAAAAAAAAAAAAAAAAAAAATATATATATATATATATATACACACACACACACACATGAGTACAAAGTTTTGATGTAACCTTCAGACAATGCATGGTATTGACAAAATCGTTCACTCAAGATTCACAGTCAACAAATGTTATACAGATTGTCTACCGTCCATAACACCAAACGCTGTTCACTATATTATGGACTATAATAAATATTGTTCCATGGAAGAACTCTACTCCAGTCACTGACGCCAAAGCATTATAATTTATCAGGAATTTTGTAATCTTGTTCCTCTAAAGATTGAAATATTTTGCTTTTCATTGCTGAATTGAACAAATATAAAATCGTAATTATGCTCTTTTAACATCGGTTTTAGAAAAAAATAAAATAAAATAACTGAATCCCAGGCATTAGAAAGCCTGGATCTGTTTACAACCAAAGTACTACCAAAGGATTACATATATACCATACATACCATCTTCAGTTCTAGCAACCAAGCAAAAAGAGAAATCCAATATGAGGGCATGTCGAATCGAAAGCCAAACCATCTGGTGATGCTTGGTCGATGGTTGGGCAGATGCACAATATCCATTTTCCCTTCCACCATGCCTCGGGAATCATGTGAAATGACCAACCTAGATAGAGACAAAGCCATACTTCCAAGCATTTGGTGCAGAATCATTCACTACGTGCATCAGAAGTCTGAAAATGATTCTGCAACACTAGGATCTGTTCAATTTTCTCCTTTTATTATGATGCTGATGCTGATGCTGCTGCTTCTTCTTCTTCTTCTTCTTCTTCTTCTTCTTCTTCTTCTTCTTCTTCTTCTTCTTCTTTTTGTTGTCATCAGGAGCATGACATTTCCCAAGTTTGCCGTGATCTCCACCTTCGCCATCCATATCTTCACACTGCTTGCTGACATAGTTTCCCGATACGAGCTGATGGGCCAATATTGCTAGATGAGGTCCCGAAACAGACTTGGGTGGAATGGGCCTATATAAATTTGAAGAAATATCAGAGTTTGCAAGGATTTATTTATGAACAAAAAAATAATAATAAATCAGGAATATAGGCTAGTCAGAGAAACTTCCAAATATATGTCCAATTCTCACCGGGTTGTAAATGTATCGAATACCAAAAAGTATCAGCCTACTATTCGCTAACTAACCCAGATATAATCTCTGTAATTTCCAAATGGAAACTCAAAACAGATGCACCTTTTAGGCAATATACGGGAATAACGATATGACATTACATATACAAGCCAATGCTCCTAACAAGATTCTTCATGACAAGTTTACTTGATGCATGTTGGATAGTGATTTATATTGGTCTAAATTATAAATAGATATAAGTGACGAATAAGTGAATAGTACTTTAGGGTCCCACGAAATGTGAATAAAAAATAAGTTTAACCAAAGTTTTTAATGTGAATACAAATTTCAAAGTTTTGAATGTTATTGAATCAGACATTTGCCTTTTCCAAACAATATTTTAACCAATTAGAACATCTCCACTCTTTATTTTTAGAGAGCATCTTTAAATTTGTAACAATTTGTTTACACACTCCAACACACTCTTTAATTTTGCTCTTTATTTTGCTTTTCCCAATATTCCTTGTTTCTCCCTCCTTCTTCAATTAATGTATATAATCTTGATAAAATACAAATACAAAGTGGGTTTGGCTCTCCAAATATACTAAGCCAACCCATTCCTATTTTAAAAAGAGTTTCTTGGAGCCTAATTTTAAGGTTTGATTTTTAAAACTCTTAAGCTGGCATGTATTTGCCATCTTTCCTTATTTTACACTATCGAACCGCTCAATGTGTAGTGCTTATGTAAATGCTAAGAGGCTGATCCCAAAAAATTCTAACATCTTTACTTCATAAAATTTTAATAGTATCCCAACTCTCAAGCTTTCTTATGATAGAAATAGTTAAATAACTAAGCATGAGTCCTAAAAGGTAGTGGCAGTGACTAAAACTGTTATACTTAAAGATCCATCCACATCCACTAATTTGTTGAGTGATAGATTTTAAATATTCAGTGTTCATCAAGGATTAATGAGTTTCAACAAATTCTTGCAGCCATCCACAGAGCAAACGAATGAGTAGAGTCAAGATCTCTTTGTTTACGTGCATTTATTTGTGAGAAGTTACAATTATCTGTCATTAGCTTTTTTATTTTGATGAAAAAAGAGCATTCATGTGTAACAGTGTAAGAATATGAAATGACCTCTTTTTCTTATGGGATCGTGGATATCAGACGTTATTTCCTGCACTATGGGAGTTGGCTCAGTTTGTCACCACCAGGAGGAAAATAGGAAATAATTATCATCAAAACTCTTCTTGCCTTAAAACAGTTCCTTTTATATATTTTACTTTTTTTTTTCTTTTGGCTTGAAATTTCTTGCTACTAAATGTAGAAGCAAAATATGGTAAAGCAATAAACATGGTTTACCTTTCCAGGCATTATGACTCCATCAGGTGGTTTAGGCATGTGAGGATGAAAAGGAGGAAATTTATAGAAGACGGATCTGAAATGAAGGAAAATAAAAAAATAAAAACTTTCAGGATATAATACACAGCTTTGAACTATGGTTGAGACTTTGTCACAAAAGTAAACTACACTCAATACCAAATTACATACAAATACCAATAAAGATATGCAATTTATTAATGTTAGGATATCCTACCTTAATTTAGGGTCGATTTTCCTCTTTATTTTAGCTTTAGACAACTTTAGATTGCCCTTATTCCGTTCATAGAAGGCCAAGATCTTTGACGCTAAAGGATGCGAGACATGAACATACAGTTTATCCATACCCAAACTGTTTCTCCGCTTTTCTTCATCCTAAATTACAACGATACAATTCAGAAAATAAATATCTCGCAGACGCATAAAGCAGAAATGCAAATGCAGAGAAAATAATTCTCCAAACAGGAACTAGCACTACAACATCATTTGCTTTTTATGGCATACAATGCATGCCGTAAAAAGTTCTTTACAGCATACACGTGAACGCCGTAATAAAGCCATGCCGTAAATACTCAATTTTTTACGGCGTACAATGAATGCCGTATAAAAGGGAATGTGCGCCGTTGATAGACTTTTTACGGCATGCATTTGCACGCCATAAAAAGATGTGCTCTTTACGGCATACATATGCATGCCGTAAAAGATGTCTCATTTTATGGCATACACGTGCAAGCCGTAAAAGAGTCCTAAACATCAATTTTTTATTTTTATTTTCAAATTTTTATTCATTTGATTGCCATCAAACCTATAATAATTAAAATAATTAAAGAACAAAATTACATACATTAATACATTCGTAATGACGTTTTCCATAATTTCTATAAACAAAAAAAAGTACAATTTATTACAAAATGAAAATAAAATGTAGATTGTGTCTAAATAATTCTAAGAAGCCAAAGACACAGATGGAAGTGTTGCTCCACTATATATTCTACCAAATGGTTCTGCCTCGAAGTTATCACTGGAGTCTTCAGATTTAACATTTTTCTAGTAAATTTGTAAGTTCCTCCCTTTTGTAATTTCTTCCTTTTTCCATATATAATCAAAATTCTCTAGAGCCATGGCCTCAATTTTTTCTCAGAGGGAGAACACATCTGGCATGTCCCACCAATATCCACTGGGGCGGTGGTGTTAGAACTCTCACTGCTTTTGAACAAATCACTGTAAGGATTGAAGTGTGAACCTTTCTTCCTTGGACTCCTAGACCATTGCAATACAAGACCAACAAAACACAAGTTTAGTTAAGCAACACTCTCTTAATCGTGTGAGGATTGTCCAATCCATTCTACATAAGTATTGAGCAGGACATGATCCTTTTATTATGTCTGGTAACGTCCAATGTCGCCACGTTATCAAAAAAGTACACTTAAAATTTCTTTTTAACTGTAATAATCTCACAGGCAACCTTACCAGATACCGGGGATATGCAAAGGGGAAAAGGGACTTTATATCTGAGGAATTTGATTGACAAATCCAGGCTCTTGTAGACTGGAATGAGAAAAGAAATGGCAGGGACACAAATTAGACCATCCAGTTAAGAAATCATAGCCACAAATTACCCACAGATTCTTAAAAGAAAGACAAACAAAAATTGTCATGTACCCATGAATCAAGAAAAGCTCAAGAATCTATGGAAAACATTACTGGTACCCATGATTCGTCGTTGTCAACATGTCCATGATTTTGATGGTGAGTCCTGAGGCTGATTATCCTATAATGTTAACATAAATAAGAACATCAGTTTTCTACAGCATTACATTATGGATTGGAGATATTTTCAAGACTAACCATCCATGGTACGTTACAAGAATGGAAGAATGCAAGATGTGTCCCACGATATTATTGAGATTGAGATTCTCGGAGAAGCTCCCATGGCCACTATAATCAACAAAGACACCAATCATAGACAACTCCGTTCTTTTCATAGCCGTTACTTGTGTTGACAGTGAAAGTAAAATTTTGTTATATCAGACAGTCTCACCAATCAATCAAATCTCATTAATCTTAATAGACACTTTGTTTTTGTATTAGATATATAAAGTTAGTAGATATTGAGAAAGGAAAAAGGGATTACCAATCATGGCCAATAACAAAAATTGCCCAGAAAATTGTCCCCTGCGCAAACCAATACACAGGGCAAAAGTCCAACTACTGAAATGCAAAGCAATTGCCATCAAACCAAGAGCCACGGCAATATCCCGAACAACATAAGAGCAAGACAAGTTTAGTATAAGAAAATCAAATACTACAAGGAGAACATATGGACGAGGCAAGGCAAGTTTAGTATAAAGAAAATCATAAGTTAAAAAGGATGTTAAATCATCCATATAAGTACTTGAATGACAGAAGTTCAAGCAAGGTAACACAAATAGTATAAAATTTATAGCTTGTTAATTATTCAATAATCTAACGCATCCCATCAAATAAATGCATAATAAATTATAAACAAATAAATTATAATCCATTCCTAATTTACAGTATATTTTTCTCAAATCCTTTCTTCCTAATAGATTAATCCTAAATGTACAACCAGATACTAATTTTTACTAATTGGTAGAAAATAAAATCAGCACTTATACCTTCTTCTGTAGATGGTGCCCAGGTAGTCGATAGAGACTTTGAGAGTGAGAGTCCCAAAGAGCTGTCATCCATCGAGTGAGAGAGGGGATGAAATGTTAGGTTTGGATTTCAGGATTTACAGCCCATATTCTAATTTGAAACTCGAATCCTGAAGACAAAAAAGTAATTACTTACCCTATTGACACCAACGGTGACGTAGACGTCGAAGTAAAGGGAGAGAGACGAGAGTGAGAGCGGGGTTCCGTTGGTCGGCGGTGGAAGGCAGAGAGAGACAAGAGAGAGCTGTGGCGTCGGGGCGAAGTTGTGGAGAGGTAGTGTTGAAGGGATGGCAATTGGGAGAAATGACGTTTAGGCTTTGTAAATTTCATATCTTTTACAATACACGGCGTGCACTATATGCACGTCGTAAATGCTCATTTAATATGGCGTGCAGAGGATGTTCACCATAAATACTTTAATTAATTAAGTTTTTACGGCATTCATATAGAGTATGCCGTAATTAGTCTCTTTTTACGGCATGCTGTAGATGCATGCCGTAAATGAATGTCGTAAAAAGTTGTTTTTGTTGTAGTGTAGGTTAAGATGAATTGCTTTATCTGCATTAGTCATTGTCACTTAGGTGTTATCGTCAATGTATGTTCCACTTTTGCAATCTCAAAAAGAAGGCAACATTCATCGATAAATGGTAATCTACAAAGAGCCTGGCAGTTAGGAAGAGAACATAATTAAGTCAACATGTTGTAGCAATACCATACAAAAGTAACGATTGAAAGAAATCATGGTAAGATTGGTTCAGCTTTACAATTCACGAGTTGACTCTAATTAATTCATCCCGTCATGTTGAAGACCCATAAATGAAGAAATTGTTTTTCTTAATTATTATTTCTCTGTGTCTCCAGAACCTATCTGTAACATGGCCTTGTGTTGTGCAGTTTGGACGAAGATATATATTATTGTACTAAAAATTTATGGACTGTATATCCACCAAAAAGCTTATGTACCATCTACAACAGTGAAGGACCAAATCTAGGTGTTCCCGTTCCAGAAAAAGCACATGTATTACTATAAGCAATGGTCATGCAAGTTCTTGGTACAAATCTACGCCAATCAGTGAATATTCATCACCAATGGCAGTCTCATATTCAGATGACTAGGGTGGTTTCAGAATCACAATGGAATGTAATAAAGGTTATCAAATAGATATTCGAAAATTATTAAAACATTCTACGAATTTGGAAAAAATTATATTGCTTTTTAACCTAGACAAGCAGAAAGCTGACTGCAACCAAGCAACAGAAGTAGATTAGACTTGGAAGTCTATAAGCAGAAAAGTGAAAAAAAGGCATGTATGAAGGCAACATACAATTTGCATCGACAACCGGGAGAAGAAATTACAGCTAGTTGCAAAATTGTAGCAAACAAGAAATCTGAGTACAACTTGAGATCACACTTCGTTTGACCAACCAATATTAGTGGAGAATTGTTAGATGGAATAAAGATGAAAAGACAATACCTAAAATTTTAATCAAAGGATGCTGATATTAACAAAATAATATGTAAACAAATGTACACATCTATTTTAAGAAATTATATTGTGAAACAGTGCATTATGTCCCGACTAAAGCATGAAGTTGATCATCAACTTAGGTAGCAATCACTGCAATCACGACATTGTGGAAATAAATAAGCAGTCTGGAAATATGGAAAAATAATATTGCAAACATTTAATGTTGAAATGCAAATTACCCCCTAATGTGTGCAAAACAAATTGATAGAACCCCGACCCACCCAGTTTTAGGATACCCTAATAACCCTACTCTAGAAACATCACTTGGTTCAAAATGTTCTTCAAATTACCTTGAGTAATTTTAAAATTTAAAAAATAATAATAATAAATAATAATAATAATAATAAATTATCTATCGAAGCTAAGCAGTTTCTTTTGTCCCGGATGTCACACAGACAAAAGGAATAGAGTTAGACAAAGAACAGACTCATTTATTAGCAATGTCGCCAAGCCATTTTTCATTAACATAATGACTTCCAGAAACAACAAAGACGGTATTGAAAATCACAAAGTACTGGCTATTATTTAAAAAAAAATAGCATCAAGAAGAATTTCAGTCCCCATGGTGGACTATTTTGTTTTATTAAAGGACTATGCCACAAAAAGATATGAGCTAGATGCTTAATTTTGTGTGTTATAGACATTTTAGAAGAAAAATCATCACTGGATGAGAAAGGATAAAAAGACGAGAATCGATCAGAAAGAATGGAATTCTCAATTTGAGAACCAAAGTATCAAGTTTGGAAGTTGAAGGACATTTATTGCAAATATTGGGCTACTTAGGTTGAACAAGGAGACAAAATCAAGGACCAAATTGCATAGAATGGAAAGAACGCAGTCATTGCAATCGCAGCCATCTATTCATTAACGATCACAAGGATGCAAATTTGATTTACAGTTAATTTATTTACCTTCAACCATTGCGATTGCAACGGCACATGTGAGCCAGATTTCTTAACCTATGATTATTTATCAAACGTGGCACAAGTTTAGATAATTTGCCCGTCTTCAGGCAAATTACAATTTCTCATACTTAATTCTCAAGATTTGTGGCTCTAAATTGGGATTTGAATGCTGAACTTCATCAATTTGTTAAGAGATATATAATTATCAAGAAAGAGGTCAAAGATCCATTATGAGAATTCCCATGGTAAATATCAACAATAGATTGTATTATTTTTTTAGTTCATAGTAATGAATCTGACGACGTTTTTGAACTTCGGATGTTTAGTTTCACAATTATAAGCAACTAGATAATTCGTTGTTAGGATAACGCGTAGCTTAGACTTACTGTTAATTTAATTAAAAATTTCTTTCAGCTTCGATAATTTGTTAATTTCTTTTGTTTGTTTATTGATATTCAATTACTTGATCGCCAATTGATTGGTTAACGGACAATATTGAGACGAGGAGGACATTAATCTTTGATTGGAAGATTAGTGTCATAGAATAATGTGCTACAACTGTTGATAAGCTATAGGACCTCGATCTTGTGTCTCCTAATTATTTGACGACAAGGAAAAGGGCAAGGTGTGTGTCCTTGATGGTGACTACTGGACTTCCAAGCATTTTAATGGATCATCATTGATGCATGAATTTGAGGCAAGCCTTGCATTTAAGTTCATTATTCGAAAGGTCTCATCTCCAAATGAGATGTTATCTATTATATTTGAAGACCTAATGAGAAAGTTGACGTTTTCGCTAGGCTTCTATCCACTCGAGGATTATTGGTTCTCTATTGAAATTGAAAACCCAGTGGAAGAGTCAATGTCCTATTTAGGCCGCTCAATTAACCTATAGGAAATTTACATAAAGGCTTGACAAGGAAGCTAAGCTAAGAACCTAAAGTGGACTTACCATCCTTGGCCTTTAGCAAACAACCTCTCTTGAGGATTGGAAGAATATATCCAATCGAGAGCACTTTGAGAATTGAACAAATATCTTGAATAAACAATACCAATACCTCAAATTGAATGATATTTGAAGTCGGATCTTTTGCCAAAATTTCTTTGGGATTAACAGAGTATCTCCAATCGAGGGCAACTTGGGAAATGAAAGACTATCTTCTACAAACAAATAATGGGTAGCGGAGCTAAGCTAAAAACATATCATGGACTTACCTTCTTCAACCTGCATGAACAAATTTTCTCAAGATTGGAAGATTATACATCATTTATCGTCCCACCTTAAAAGAGTATCTAAGATCGGATTTCTTTGCCTTGTCAACATCCTCGAATTAAAAAAGTATCCGTGGATCGAATTACCGTGCCTCGTTAGTAGCATTGGACTAAAAGTAATTATGATCCAATAGGACCATAAAGGACCCATTACGTGGCCACATGTCTCTAAATATTCACAACATGGCTACATGGATCAGTTGAAGTGAAACATGCCTTGACCAAAAAAGTACCATTTAGAAACGAAACACACAGGATTCAAATACTTGGCTAAGAACGCAATTAAAGGCCTCAGCCACCAGAAGTTCCTTGGGCCATTAACCCATGGATGCACATAATAAATTGTTTGAACAATGTCAAAAATTGGAATTAATCATGACATTAAACATGCTTAGGAGTGTCAAATTCTAAAATAAACAAAAATCCCCTAAACACGTAGGACCATTTACACAACTAAAAAAAGGTTGAAAATCGAATATCCAATCTTCAAACTCACTAAAAATGCCACCTCGAATCAGGGCAAAATTAAGGGTGGTTGGCACTCTTGAAAATCATAGCATTCTCCAATTGAAGGGCAGTTTTAAGCCAAAGTTTTACGAAAACTCCGTATTTCTTGTTTCTATAAGCAATTTGCTTAAAAAGATACCCACATCCCTTAAAAGAGGAAAAACTCTACCAAAATTGTGGCAAAAAAAACTCTACCTTTAGCTTAAGAAAATAATTTCTATTTTTTGAAGTCAACAGTTATCATACTCAATTGTTAGTTGTTAATGTAGAATAAGTACTAGTAAAATAAATGATAAACATCATACATTTACTATCAAGTCATCAATTTCCATTCGTTCAAGCGGTAGAATTGGATGAAGTTACCCAATTTAAATCAAATTAAGGTAAAATTACCTAATTGATATCATATGAAAGTATGGTTATGACGAATGGAATTTACCAACCCACCCACTAAGTAAGGCCTTACATGGTGCAACAATGAGGTACCCTTATATCAAGAAGCTTGCACTATCCCGAGTAATTGCATCTAGAAAGCTACAACCAATTTAACCAATTTAAAATCAACTTTAAGTCATGAGCTTCAGTTAAAATGCATGCCTTAGAAAACTTTGTTGTAGAGTTTGTGCATCACCTAGAGCAGATTCTACACAGAGAACCTGTGGAAATCCCAACACTGAAATTGCATGTTGACAGGTCAAAAAGAGAACCTACATCAGATGCGAGACATTTTGCTCATGATCTTTGGGGGAAACAAATTAATGGAAGCTTTGTGGTTTGCAAATAGACGATAGACATATATTTGAAGAAAGTGATTAAC